ACTGCCTTCAGCAGAGAGACGCAGAATACCATTGCATACAATTAAACTGGCCATGTGAATGAAAGGTCAACCCACTTTTTTTCATACTGTGGAACAGATAGATTCTTGGCTGGATTGACTGATTGGTTGATATCATGGTTGTTTAAACTATCGTTTAGATCATTGGGGAAAAAATAAGAGCAATTTGATTTCAATCATTTAAGTCAAATCTCATTCTGAAATGTGTATATATATTTTTAATCAGCTTGCATGGTACCCAGTTGTTATAAGAACCATTTAAGCATACAATCGGCTCTCTGTATGCATGGATTCTTTTCCATGTATTTAAGCATCCACCGCTTGAAAATATCTTAAAAATATATACATTCCAATAAACAAACCTTGATTTTGTCATTTTATAGTGGGAACACCATTTCACTTTGCCATTGCATTTAATGGAACTTGAGCATCTACGGATTTTGGTATCCACGGGGAGTCCTGGAACTAAACCCTGGCAGATACCAAAGGCCCACTATCAAAAATAAAATAAAAATGGAGTCTTCCTATCTCCTTAGAGTGTAGCATAGCTTGTATTGATGCTGCAAAATTATTCCTGGTGCTTGAAGATTGCAGATGCAGTCCAAAATATCTACACATGGAATTGAGTTCCATGGAACCAAGTGGGACTTAATTTTGAATAGTTATGCATAGGGTCAGCTCATGAGGGTCAAGAACCAAGGCTGTCACTAGGGTTGGTGTCACCAGCTCATGCTGTCACCCCCAGGCTGCCTGGCATTGCCTGAGCATCCCCCTCTACCAGCCAGGCTGCCTCTGCTATGGTGTGTGGGGCACCGCTTCTGCCAAACATCCTGTTCTGGATCTGGGAGGGGAGACTGCTGGAAGAGGGAGGTGATTTGTTTTCCTGACTGGCCAGTAGATCCACCAGCCAGTCCCTTCCCATTTGTGGCTGCTGATGGAGGTGGTCTGCTGCTTTTGGCCAGCAGCCTTCTTCCTGCTTTGCCAGTAGATCCACCAGACTTGGAAGGAACTTCTGGGCAGCAGCAACACCCCATCCCTACCATCGGCCACTGCCACTGGATGGCAGAGGTACCCCCAAGAGTGGTCTTGTGCCAGATGGAAGTGAGTGCCCCATTGGTGAGTTCCACTGTCTCCATACCCCCCTAATGATTCCCCTGTCAAGAACATCTTAAATGCAAGGGCTAATCGTTCCTGGAAAAATACTCAGTGTTTCTTTGTTATATGGAAAGCAAATGTCCTTGCTTCTAGTACCTCATCAAGCTACAGATCCCAGGATTTCATAGGACAGTGCCATGACAGTTAAAGTGGTATCAAAGTGCTATAATTCTTTGGGGGGGGGGGTTTTTTTTCCTGTATTATATGTTTTTATGTGGATTATGATTTTAAATCTGTAAGCCGCCCTGATTGGGTATCCATTGGGCGGGGTATAAATATTATTATTATTATTATTATTATTATTATTATTATTATTATTATTATTATTCTGCAGTGTGGATTTACCTTCTATATATGCAGCCATGGTTGTGGTGCTAAAGCAGGGTCATATATAACTAGAGCTATATATGACTAGAGTGGGCTCAGTAAATCAACTGGATTTATCTACATGTTGACTAACCATTCAACAACTGAATTGATCCATCTGCTGTAGTGGGACAAACCAACTGGATTATTGCCAGTTGTAATTTTGAGAACTGAATACATTCAAACTCTGAGTATCTTAGAGGACATAAAATGGGGGTAAGAGATCATGTACATGAGTTCTGTTTATAAACTTGGTGAGATGTGGGATGTTTGACAGAAATCTCTGCCACAGCTGCTCCAAGTTGTTCATAGCTCTCACAATACTGAACAGCTTTGCTGTTAGGAGAGCTCCTGTACAACTAGGAATAGCTGTAGTGGGAGTGGCCAGAAAAATGAAAGTGGATCTACTACCCTTGCAGTGGTGGATCAAATGGTTTCATCAATAGGATATCACCTCTTGCAATCTAGGCCTGCTTGGCCCTACCTGGATCCAGCAGAAAGTTCACAAACTTAAGTATATTGCACAGTTCATTGTGATGGTTACCATACTTAATCTCAGATTTCAGATATTTCACCCTTTGACTCATCTTTTCTAAATTCTAGGAGCTATGAGAGGCTGCACCAGTTTGCTTTTGCCTCAGCCTACTGGGAAGGACAAGCTTCCTCTCCCTTCTTCCTGTCATGCAGGAGGTGGGCAGAAATTTTGTTTTTCCTCTTGAAGACATGATTAAAATACATGGATGGACATTTCAAGGAACCAGATTCCTTCCACCCATTCTTTCCTCCATTCATCCCTACAGTATTTATTTCCTTCCTTTTTGCTAGCGTGGGACTCATGACAGCTCACAAAAGATAGAAAATTACATTTTAAAAGATGTAGTTAAAGAAAATTGAAATTAAAACAATATTAAACAACAACTGAATTGAGCTATGTAATGTCTTACTTTAAAACAAAGATCAAAAACATGAATAGACCTTTCTTTTGTTAAAAACCATTTCCCAACGGGCTGCAAGAAAAGAAAAATCTTAACTTGCTGCTGAAAATACAACAGAGAAGGAGCCATCCTAACTTTGTTAGGGTGGGCGTTCCAAAATGTGGAGCAGTCATTGAGAAGGTCTGCTCCTGTATTGCTATCAGTTTCTTATATGAGGGTGGCGGAACAGAGAAAAGTGCCTCCCTTGAAGATTTTAGTGCTCAAGCAGATCCATATGGGAAGATAGAGGCTTCAAATAGTCAGATTTTGACTGAACATGTGGAGAAACTCTTTACACTGAGGTGCTGCAGTCTTGTGCAAACTTTTCAAAAATGTATGCATTTTATGTACATGTTCCCCCACAATGTAGATTTTTGTGGGTGGACATTTTCCCCAAGACAGCTCATTTAAAGTCCCAGGAAGTACGAATGGTTTTTAGTCCTGAAACAAAACTCTATCAGATAGTGAGTGTTTTTTTTTTCTTTTAGGACTTAAAACCATCTGTAGAACAGGCCATGTTCCACATTCATTTCAAGGTTTCTGGTAACACAACTAATTTTTCCTTAAAACAATAATCTGGCCCTAGACAGTGCAAGTGTTTTGTATTTAGAATCCAATTAAACTGAAGGTGTTCAACAGCGGGATTCTAAATACAAGGTTTCAGACTCAGTTTTCCAGCCTGTAACATTTATTGGTTCTAATCAGAACTCCCTGAGAACCAGAAACCCTATGGTTTCCTGAACTTCTGCAAACTTTTTTATGCATGTATTTATCAAGACAAATGTTCAGCAGATTGGAAATAGTTTCTCATACAGCAGTCGCCCTAGAAACAGTCTTTGGTTTAGTGAAATTAAATTTGGATCCATCCTTGTAGCTTTCCCACATTTTATGCTTCAGTCTTTAGGAGGCTTCTCATTAATTAACAGATCTTCTGTCCCGAGGTCAGCAGTATCAACAGTTGCTTCCTTTCTTATCACAGAGTAAATTCAGATTGCATTGATCACCATTACTTGCCTCTCAGAAGCACCAATTTGTGTTGCTTGACTTCAGCAAGGGTTACAGGGAGCCTGTTTCTCACTACTGATTGACAATTAGATATCTTACAGTTGGTGATGTAGGCTAGACAGAGCCTCCGTAAATGAATGAATGACTCCTTCCTTTTTTTAAAAAAAAAAAAAGTCATAATTTTCTCTTTAGCTTTTTGGGGACAGGACCACGAATCCCCACTGATCTTCCTGTGACTCTGATGGAGCTGTTAGGGCTGACTGAGAGATGTTTCCCATCCTAAATATTAGATCTGGAAACCTAACCCTGACTCAACTCCTGTCTGCCCTTTAGTCATTTTGTGGCTGCCAAGGTTTGAATGGAAAGGCCAGTGGATTAGACTGGGAGAAGGTCAGAGGTTAAGCGAGAGCGGTTAGCAGCGGGCAAAGAGCTATGATTGAAATATCTGCTGATTGCTGACAGGCAGCAGAATAGAGGCAGACAAGTGACAAATTCTGGTTTCTCCCCTAATTGAGAAAAATATTTTGAGTGGTATTCAGGCAAGGCTGCATAATGAATTTGAGAGAGGCAGAGGGAATGAAAGAGCAAGGGGCGGACTCTTTGTGTGTCTGCACTGGATAGTTGGAGCCAAGTCAACCTTTCCCAACACTGATTTACTTAAGCCAGTTTATTATTAAGAACTGAAATGGCAGGAAGCTAGGAAGCTGATTTATACACGGTTCGACTCATGTCCATTGTTTTTTGGAGTGGCTCTCTCTGACGCTGTGTTGACATTCCCCACCCCCATCCCACTTTATTCTGGGCTTGAGGCTGTCATGTTGTCTGTCGACTTATGGCAACCACATGAATTTCATAGGGTTTTCTTGATACCAGGGATTAAAGCTGTATCTTCTGTGTGCAAAACTCTGAGATAGCAGCCTACCACAGCCTGCCATCTCTCAAAATATTTAGGGCAAGAAGAATATACCGTCTTGGTTTGTAACCAGAATAACTGCCCCTGATTGATGGATTGGTTTTGGGCACAGATTGCAGTTGAGTGGTAAGACATTGTGTTTTCATGCCAAAGTTGCCAGGTTTCATTCCAAGTATCTCCAGTGAAAAGGATCAAGGAGTGGGAAAGATTCTTTTCAGTCAAAGCAGACGTAGCCAGCCTGGCATGGACAAAGCCCCTTCATGTGTTCTTAGGGTCAGCCCTTTGGGATCTGGAGGTTGAACAATCAGGCAAAATGCTGTTGGTGGGAGAGTTATGTCAGCAGAGATGGAAGACTAGTTCAATATGACATCCCTCACCATACAAAGAGATGTTAACATTTGAAAAACCTTGGCAGGTGAAATGCAAGATTATTGTTGTGTGTTTCTTCAAGTTGTTTCTGACTTATGGTGAATCTGTCAGAGAGTATTCTTCACAAGATTTGTTCAGAGGGAGTTTGCCTCTGAGGATGAGAAAGTGTGGCTTGTACACGGTCACCCAGTGGGCTTCCATGGCCGAGCAGGGATTTGAACCTTGGTCTTCAGAGTCGTAGTCCAATGTTTGAACCATTACACCACACTAGCTCTTTAAAATGACAAGATTCAAGAGTTCTTTTCACTGAACTTCTGGGTAAGCTAGTTTTGATCATGTTTTGTTAGCTCTGAGAGCCAGAAAATCACCTTGGGTTCCCAGGAAAGTCTGCAGCAGGTACTAAATATATGTTGGTGAATCTCCCCTGTGGAATTGTGGCAGTTGCATGGCCAGGAAATAACATCTGCTCTTGCAAATCTGGAAGGCCCAATGTTTATGAGATCATGAAGAATCAAGGTCTGAAAGGAAGTGTTGCTTCCCTAATACGTCATTAAACCAGCTAAATAGCATGCATTTTCCCCCTTTCTTGCTCTGTTCAATGCTGTCTTTTTCTCTTCCTTTTTCTTTCACTCACAACAGCACACACCTCAAACAGAGGAAATTCCAATCGGGGTTGTGTGTGTGTGTGTGTGTGTGTGTGTGTGTGTATGTCACCATAATCTCTTGAACCATCTTTTGCTCTCATCTCTCACTCTCAGCTTCTAGGAAGAGATGACTCAGAATCCCTCCCCAAAACCCCCTTCCCAAACCCTTCTCTTGATCAAAGTTGATAAATGACAGTAAGAGATTTTTTTTTTATTTTTGCTAAGGGCAATTTCCTGCCCATCTAGAAATTAATGGTTAGGAGCGGGTGGTGGAAACCGCAGTAAAGATGGCACAGAAAGTGAAACAACAACACAACCCAAGCCAGCCACCTATAACTGATGGGGCCAATAAGTGAAGATACAAGACAATACGGGCCAGTTTAAGATTGTTTTTGCTGAGATAGTATAATCTCGTAAAACTCAAAATAAGGTTGTAAAAACATTTTCTGCAGAACGCTGTGTCCGCTAATAAAATTAAGAGCAGAGAAGGATTTTGGCAAGAGTGTGAGCAGCCGTGGGCCACATGTCATGCTACATCTGCAGGCTCCAAGGACCTTAGCTCCTTAAAGATACCCCAGAGAAGCTCAGAAGTTTTTATGGTTAAGTGTGGGTTTTGTTAAAGCAAGTGATGTTTGTCAGAAGGCCTGCAAATAACTGCTGGTTATTAAGTGCAGGAAGCCAAAGCATGAGTCATAGATGTTGACTCTCAAGAGAAAACTGGGGGCTTAATGCCATGAGATTCCAGGCTTTTCCTTTGGGAAGGACCTTCAGGCTTTGGTCAAAGGTTAGGCAGACTTATGAGTTTGTCTCTCTGGTCTGCTACTACAGAAAGATGGAGGAACTTGTTCTTCATCTGTTCCTTCTGTTGATGAGAGAGCACGCATATATTCCCAGGTTGCCATCCTGTACATATTTACTTCTGAAAGGAGGTAGATATCTGTCGTTGCTAAGCATTTATCTATTTATGGTATCTTTACTCCATCTTTCTTCTTGCATAGAACACAAGGGAAGCATTCATAGGATTCCCAGGAGATTTCTCATCCAGGGAATGGCCTGATCCACATCTGCTTAATTTCAACAAAGTGGTAGATAACCTGCCTAAAGGATTAGAAAAGGATCAAGCCAATGCTGGCTTGACTTTCTGGTATGTATGCATCAAAGCTTGTAAAGCTGGGATCATGCTGTGTTAACTGCTGAAATGTTAACATTGGGTTTGAAGTTGTTTTGTTGCTGGCATCAAGTAGGGATCAACAAGCAAGATGAAAATATAATATGGAAGCAATATTGTACTAAAGAGCAAGGGGGTCCCATGAGGTAGCACTGAGAGCTAGTGTGATGGAGCAGCTAAATGTCTGTGCTGTGAACTGAAAATACTTGATTTAAATTGTGCTACTACCAGAGAGCTTACTATGTTGTTGAAGGCAAACGACACTCCATTGATTTGTCTCCTTCCACCTACATTGTAGGGATAATAATATAGACTTAACATGCAAGTTTATTTGAAAGATTATTTAGAAGAATATACTTTGGAATGGTAAGAACCACAATTCAAATTCTAAGCATTGTGATTTAGTAAGGACTGTACTGTAAGGTACTGAGGCAACAAATCATTGCCTATAAACTCGTGAAAGCTTTCTATGTAGAAAATAACCTCACTTTTAACATATACTCTGTCATACACACACTTGAAAAAACTGTGCAAATTTTGCTTCAAAATTAGTCTAACCTAATTGAAACTTTTAGTTTTGAGACCACATTTGGACAGAATTTTCAAGTGAGATTGGATATGGTGCGTTATTGAGGTTATTTTGAATTCAGTTGTTCAAAAAAAAAGCATGGGTTCTTATTTCCTAGTGTTTTCTTGCATCCATTTCCTCCATGCACCATTGTTCTCCTGTTACAATTGAGTAACTGAATACTTGTTTTTTGCTGCTAATGAAAAACTGGAGTGGGAGGAGGGAGGGATTATTATTTCTTAATCCTGCAAAGAGAGTCAGAATGTGTGTCTAAATGTTTCTTCTTCAGGATTCCAGTTTGACACCAGCAAGTGAATCAGGGCTGGTTTCTTTTGACTTTATAAGACTTGAGACCTGCAGTAATCATTTGTGATGTTATTACTAGCATGAAGGCAAGGGGGAAATTGGAGGGAAAGAACTAGCCTTCAAACAAATGGACCCGGACAAGAGTCTAAGGGACTGTGTATTATAGGCAATGTATGGCTACCTTACCTCCCACATCTATTTTTTCTCTTAATGTTGTTTGCCTGTGATTTGTGGCCTGTCAATGAAGAACAAGTGTGTAGCCTGATCTTCCTTCATGCAGGCTCTTAATGGATCTTATTCTGAATGGCTCTGCAACTGTCATGATATCCAATGATATTGTGGTATCTTTCACAATGTTACTGGGGAATTTTTTATGGTTGGTGGTAGCTGCACATCTCATGGTACTATAGTCAGACCCTATCAGCATAGACCAGATGCCAGTCCTCTACTAGAATCTTGGTAGGCCTGTGTATGAAGGCCACGTTCGCTTTAAGAGTTGTTTCTCTTTGGCGTGTCTTCCTCTTTATTTTTCACTAGTAGCCACCAATCTTACACAGCCATTTTTAAAGCAAGAAGAACACCCAGATGTTTTGGACTTCAGTTTCCAGAATCCCTAACAGTTGGCCAAGTTGGCTCAGACTTCTGGTAGCTGAAGTCCAGAACAACTAGAATGTCAAAGTTTGAGAACCACTGATGCAAATTGTTAATTCTTGTATAATGGGACAGAGCATTCATCTTAAGTCCAGACTATCTGAAAGACCATATCTCTTGATAGGAGCCTGCCCAAGTTTTAAGATCATGGCAGAACATTTCTCTTTATACCACCACAATCTTAGGTATGGTTGGTGAGGACTTGAGAGACAGCTTTCTTGATGGAGAGAAAGCACAATAAATACAAAACTGAAAATAAAGAAAAATTCTGCAAGTGTCTCTATCTAGTAAAAACATAATAGACTGTTTCCTTCTCTAGAAGCTTCGTTGTTTGCTTCTGCTGGTGTTTAGACAAAATGCAGTCCTGAGTAGATGTGAATTGGAGCAGGAGTGCTTAATTCACAGAATATAAATTCCTCTTTGACTGTGGGCCCTTTCATACTATACCGTTATAGTGCTATGGTTCCAGTTTGATTGCTGTGGTTTTGTTCTGTGGAATCCTAGGATTTGTAGGTGATGGAGGGATATTTTGATCTCAAACAGCTCTGGTACCTCACCAACTTACAAACCCCAGGATTCCATTGGAACAGCCATGACAGTTAAAGTGGAATCATAGTGCTATATTTATGTAGTGTTGAAGAGCCCTATGAGATCATTTCCTCAGTAGTGGTGTTTCTGCACCCCTTCCAGAAGGGGTGAAATACATTTCCTCATTAAAAACAACACCAACAACACAGAGAGGTGAGTTTTATAAAACTTTCTCCATAATTTCCTCCCACTAGAGATGGTTGTGAGGAATAGATGGCATAGACAAACTTCTCCACAGTACTTACAGAAAAAAATGCTGACTCTGTGCTGTTCATGTGAAGTCCACTATGGCTTCCAGTTGCAGTGACTCATTCTCTTCAAGTTTAAATAAATAAATACAGCAGATGATTAATTTGAAAAGAATTAAGAAAAGGCATCCAGAGTACAACTGTAAGAAAAAGCTAAGTGTGTAGATGCCCTGTTGTATGTTGATCAATCAACAAGCAGGATGGATGTATCCAGAATGTTGGCAGAGGTTCACTGATGTGGAGTAGGAATGCTTTCTGTTCTGTAGTGTACAGCCAGGACTTAGAAAAAGTTGAAGCTGACAGTTTGAGGTCTATGATACATCACTTAAGACAAGGAGACCAATTGAAAGGAAAGCCCCCATCATAAGGAGGCATAACAAATGATTTGAGAAAATGAATTCATTCCATCCAAGGGAATCTCTTGACATCATAAACCACTCCTGCTCTTTGTGGTTTATGATCTCACCAGAAGGTTCCCTTCCACCATGGGATTGTTTCCTTATATATCACTGCAACCCATCCATTATTGTCTCCGTAATTGCTTCCACAGTGCTCTCATAACAGAAGAGATTTCCTACAGTTGAGTGCTGGTATCCCCAATTGTTGTCACCCGCTGGGTCAAGTTTCTCAATCCTTTACATGTTGTAGATCTATAATGGGAGGAAGATATTGGAGTGAAAGGAAGATGCTGTCCTAATTATTTTTTTTATTTAAGAAATGCAAAACTAAGCCCGACTCCATGTGTCTTCTCCTCTCCCACTTCCTCTATTTATACCCAGAGGAGAAGACACAGAAAGTTGTATTTCATCTGCCAGGAAGAAAATAGGAGGAAAGTGGATTGGCCTCAAGCACAACCCAAGCCAGAGTCTACTAAATCAAAATTCCTTAACCAGCATGATATAGCAGTAAATTGAAATAATGTGTACAGAAAATGAGGAAAGTAAGGAGGGGAGTAACAGAAGTGGTGTGAGGAATTCTTCATTATAGACAAGAAACACAAAAGGATTTAAATGTACAATTAACTATAGAAATGTAGCCAAATATATGGCAAAATAATTACTTGGTATTACTGTATTCATCCCTTCTCACACACATACAA